TTATTGAGTAAATGATCAAACTTATTGAGCCCTTAAACGAACAAGCTTATCAAGCCCATAAACGAGTAAAGCTTTTTAAGCCCATAAACAAATAGTTTGTTAAGCTCATAAATGATACTTTTAATGAACAATCTTTTTAATGAACACTGAAATCAAATAATTTATCAAACATGAATAAATACATCTTGTTCATGAACATTCCTATCAAACATGAACAAAATTGTTGTTCAGCAATTTGATTACCATGCACTAACCATTAGTGCAGAGATAGCTTATTGATTTAGCTCATTGTCAAACAACAAAATATAAATGACAGTAGTTTAATTCATGAATTTTCTCTCTCACAAAGAGAACTATTTAGCTTAGTAAATATGAATGACCAACTCATAAATAAAAGTTAATAAAGTTTCTAAGGGTGCGTTTGGGACGGCTTCACGGTTGCTTTGCTTCAGAAAAATTTAGTAAAGGTGCGTTTGGGGCATTGCGGTAGAACAAAGTTACAAAAATTTCTGCGGCCCGCTGCTGCTTCTCGCGACCTTCCATTGCGTCCCGCGGTCCGCTGCTGTTGCTGCTTTCCGCCGTTTTGAAGGAAGTAAATGACGAAAAAATCCAATCGCCCTCACCGCTTCCTTCCTCTCCTCCCACTCCTTGTCCTCGAGCTTTACCTGCTTCGGCGGCCGATCACATCTCGGAATCACGAGCGGTTGGTTCACAGGATCTGAAATTTTCACGGAGATGGAGGTTAACTCGCCGATCTTGATCACGTCGCCGTCGGAGAGGGAGGTTGGTTCTTCGTCGGGGGAAATAAGAGAACCGTTGACATAGGTTCCATTGGATGATCCGAGGTCTGTAACAACCCAGCGAGAGATTTCAGGAAGGAAGTTAACAGTAAGATGCTTTTGAGAAATGCTGGGATCCTTGATGACGACTGTGTTGCCTCTGACTACTCGGCCAATGCGGATTACGGTTCCTGGGTTGCACGCTAGGGTTTCCCCTGCCTTAGGTCCCTTGTCGATTGAGAGACAGAGGGTCGAGCTCGCCATGGAAGAGGAAGACGCGAAGCTCTCTCTGCCCTGTAGTTTGAAGTGTTGACGAGAAAAGGGAAAAAGGTGTTGAAGTGAAAAGCCAGAGGAAGTGGAAACGGTCAGATTTCGATCTGATGATGGTGATGCTGCTGGTGACGATCGGGACGACCGTTCTGACGCCATTGGTGGTGGCGTTCATTGTGCGACGAGGGAGCAGATTGGATTTTTTCATCATTTAAAAAAAAAATTAAAATTTACTTCAAAATATGATATAACATTATCAAAATAAAATTAGAGAACTTTGATATTTAAAGTGGATAAAATAATAGTTTAACACTGTTAGTTTGTATTATGTACGTGAATAGAAAAAAAAATGTATATTTATACAAATTTTTTTCATATTAATATATATAAGGGTAGTACGGTAATTTATTCGCATACAGGTGCAGCACAGCAGTTTGACAGTTATATTATCCAAACAAAATATAATGATTTATGTACAGTAACTTCAAAAAGCAACTTTCTGTACACCAACTTCACAAACTGTTTTACCGACAGCTGCAGCCGTCCCAAACGCACCCTAAATGTATAGAAGATCTCCTAAATATGATACACTAAGCTACATACAGTTGCTAACTATTTCTCCTTCCACCAGTTTGTACCTTTGCACACTACAAGCCTAACAAGTTCAAATTTTTTCAAATTGTCATATTCAGAGAAAGAGTCATGAATTCCATAGTTGCCCAAATTGTCCATCCAAGGGAATTCGGTCTGGCAATATAAGGGAAGTTCATCATTGTCCAAGGCATAACAACAATCCCACCAGACCAACTGAAGCATTAAAGAACATCTAAATCTAAAATTTTATTTAAAAAAAATATATGAAAGCATAGCTAGCATAGCTGCACAATAACATAGCTGCACAAAGACCATCGTATCAGATCTACCGTTGAAGACGACCCAGAGATGAGACCTCTGTGAAGATATTAATAGAAGCTTTTCATCATCATCCAGGAGACAAGGAGAGCAAAACCCCAGATATTAATAAAGCATGAAAACCCTTCCACAATAATTTAAGAAAATCTAAGACCATGAACAAGACACAAAATAATCAACTTAGATTTAGTAATAAAAAAATAAAATCATCAACATGAGTCTGAACCCGTGATTACTTCTCCAACCAAATATTCCACCTCCTAGCATGCCTCTTTTCACCGAGGCTTTTGTTTTTCAGTGGACGAACTCTCAGGAGTGAGCAGGGCAACGCAAGGGAGAAATAGGAGCGTAGACTTCAGCGGCGGTACTTGAGCGGAGAAAGAAGGGTTATACTATTCTATTTAAATGTGAGAATGAACTATGGTGATATGCATATAATATTAAAATTTTAAGTGTTAAATATATAAATAGAATAGTATAAGATGGTATTTATGTAAATCTCCCAATATATAAACATAAATTAGTCTCATAACCAATCCAAAAAAAAAAAAAACTCATCAAAATTGCCCACGACTTGTTCATTACATAAGTCACTCATTAAATAGGCGACTTACCCCTCTCCCTTTATCACCCGTGAATCCGCCCAATTTCCACATTTGGCGTCTTCCTCTCTTGATCCAGCAACCATTCGGCTCCTTCTGACTAAAATGACTTTGCAGGTAAGTTTTTGGACCTTTTTAATTTTTTGGCAGTTATATTTTGTGGTTATGCTAAGTTAGGCGAAGTTTTTTTTTTAAGTTTCTACATTATATTTAGGTGTTTCCTTAATTTTTTTTAGGTTTAGTCATTTAAATATTTGTTGCCAAAAAAAGAAAGGAATGGTCTATATTAAACTTTTTTTGGCAAATGTATTTATAGGAGATCAAAAAATTATATATATATGGTTGGGATGTGAAATTTTTTGTGTTTTTTAATATGATGTTTAAGTGTAAAATTATTAAGTTTTATTTTGAAATAGGTTTATATTAATTTATTTTGTAAAACTTAAATATATTATATTGTATTCAATATTAATATATCATTTATGATAAATGATGATTTTGTGTGAATGTTTTTGAATTATGAGTAAGGTTATGTCAGTTTATCATAGGATTTGATAAGTGAAATGAAGTAGTGCAGTTATGTTTGGACGAGGAGTGTCATTTGTTCTTATATATAATGGAGAATTGTCTTTAGATGATAAGTATGCACCAACATATAATGGGACAATTATCGCCCTTTGCAAGTGCCAGCTAACACAAAGTTAGAGCAATTGACGTTTAGGATTCTCGAAGCTCGTAAGTATGATACATTTAAGTATATAATGATGTTAGTTTGTCGTCTGTCCTTAGGGAATGAGTTTATAGCTTCACTTGTGGGGGATGATGAGGTATGTGAAATGGTGTTATCGCATGTGATTGGACAAATACTTATACTTTATGTAGAGGTTGAAGAGATTGGCGCACCTAGTAATGTTGTTGAGATTCACACCCCAAGTGCATGAAACATTCAGTTTGGAGGAAATGATAGAAGGTGGTTCGATGATTCCACCGATTGAACCGTTATATGCTAAGTACTTCATGTAAATCTTTATTGAATGAAGTATAAATTTGTGGATGTATTAACATACATTTTGTTGGTGATTGAGTGAAAGGAAAAGAAGTTATTTGCCGGATGTATCAGGACCTTCCGCGAGATCGTCACTCACAGTTGATGATGGCTATGAAACCATGAGCAGCGGATCCAGCAAGCCGGGTGATGATGATGATGATAACATACTATGTGGTGCAGACGAAGAGAATGTTGATATGAATACTGAAATAAATAGCATCATCCAACGATATTGTTATGTCAATGTTGGTACTGCTAAAGGCATGGCTATAAATAATGACTTTGTTAAGATATATTTGAACACTTGTGAATGGGATGAGGACATAACAAATGACGGTGAAAATATTGGGTATCAAGTCGAAGAAGAGTTTTCAATTCCAACAGAGTTGATGGAGGAGACGTGTTTCACTAAGAATGACCTATAATTTGCATTACAGGGTGTGATTAGAACGACAAATCGGATAGTCCATGTCAACGGTGTCTGCATACAAGCATGAGCAAATATCTTGGCAGGATATAGAAAATATATTCTATGAAGTAGCAACATACTTATGCTCCTATTCTAGCGACAAGACACAGCAAGTGTAATTCTCAATTTATATGTCACTTCATATTGCCCAATAATAGAAGGTAGATGGATCTAAAGCCAGAGTAAGATTATAGGTCAAATTGAAGTTAATTTCAACATAAAAGTTTCTGTTGATCTAAATACCAAATCACGCTCGTAAAGGAGCAAAATCGGTGATGGAAGCAATGCGGGCAACGATGCGATGCATCACTTGAATGATCAAACGACATCGAATCACCAGATGGATTGCACTGTTGCGATCAGAACGTCGAATTCCCCTAAGTCAAAGCCTCTCGCAGTCGAATCAGAGGCTACAAGTCAAGATCGACGATCAACAACCAAAAATGACGCGCGATGTCAATCAAATGATGTACGATTGTAAAACGGACTTTGCCGCTGCATTCAGAGCGTCCTCATTACTCAATAGAGACTGCAAATTTATTCAATTGAAATCGCGTAGGGAGATCAACGTGGGTCCCGAGGCAATGCACGCAAATAGAGGAAATTAATATGCGTTGTCTCCCAAAGCCCAAACAAAGTCCGATCGCAAAACGGACAGCGCTGTTGCGTTTAGAACGTCTAAATCATCTAAGAGGGACTATGAAATTGCTCATTAAAAATCACACGTGCAAATAGACATGATTTCCATGCAATGACTTACAAATTTGGAGAAATTTTAAGAAAATCAAAAGAAAAATAGCTGTTTCAAATTCGGGGTTCTTTACAATAATAATAATAATTATTATTTTATTTAATAATAATAAGCCTTATTATTATGAATAAAAAAAAAACCAAAAAAAGTCAAAAAGAATTAAAATCACCTCGCCCTAGAGCACGAACGTCCGGCCACACGTCGACAGCAAACTCAAAGCTTGGACGAACCGATCAGCCTCTCGTTCTAGTGTTTCTACCATGCCATTCGCACGCCTCACGACCTGCACTCAATCGAAGCCTTCATCCAACTAAATAATCCTCTGTTTCTGAACCAAGCACCGACTTCCATACTGTACAGCTGATTCCGACTCAACACCCGTGCCTGTAGCTCGCCGTTTCTCCTCTCAATTCATCTCCTCCTCTCAACTCATCTTCTCCGATTGACTCCAGACGCAAGCAGGCGATGCCAGTAATCATTTGCCGAACTCCCTAAGCTACTACAACCTTTCGAGCCAACCACCTATCACGCCTCCGACCTCGGCAGACCCCAGATTCGGTCAATACAAGATCAGACTCCCTCCGGAAGCCGATTACACGAGCTTCTCCACCTCTTTTCTGACCTCAACCTCATAAGCCCGTCGCCTTTTCTTGTGTAATCGGGGGGTCTGATGGTATATTGACCGGGGAAAAAAGATTTATCATAAGTGATAAAAAAAAACCATAAAAAAAATATATTAAAGCATTATAAATCAATGAACAAATTTTAAGGAGCTTTATTAATGTCTAAATTAATTGAAGGAGCATCATCTTAAAATATTTTAGTAAGGACTAAACAGCTTGGCGTTTTCAGAATGCACCAAATTGTTTGGTGCATTCTAAATACAAAATTTTATTAGAGTTCGGGCAAAGTTTTATATTAAGCATCATTAACATAATTGTTGCGGGCTAGAATATACGCGGCGATAGAGTTAGAAAGTATTCGTCTTAGCGTTGTACGGATATTCAACACACAGACAGAAGATGAAAGAACACCAGGATTTTTACGTGGAAAACCCTAGAAAGGGAAAAACCACGGGGCCACACCCAGTTGAAAAGAGTTTCACTATTATTTGCTTAAAGTACAAGAGAATGACTCGTCCTTAAAATTTATGATAATCAGATTATAAAGAATCACTTCTAGATTGAAATCCAGTTACAACATCAGGCAGAATTTTGTCGTCGCTTGGAGATCGGGCAGAATTTCAGCGTCTTTTGGAAGTAAAGCAGAATTCTGGCGTTGTTTGGAAGTCGGTCAGAATTCCGATGTCATTTGGAAGTCAAGCAGAATTCCAGTGTCCCGTGCAAGTCAGGCAGAATTCCGGCGTCCCGTGGAAGTCGGGCAGAATTCCGGACGGTGGTCGAGGAGGAGTTTCCTCCCTCCTTCATTTTTTTTTCTCTTCTTCTTCTTGCTTGGATCTCCTTTCAAGGGAAATGAGGAGTCTATTTATAGATTTCTGGAGTGACATAACCCGTAAATAGGTGAGAAATCAGGGGTAAATGGGGACTGGTTGGATGGACTGGCGATTTTAATTCCCTTGATCGTGTACTGTTCGTCAGACATTTGAAAGTCTTAATGATGTCAGAATTCAGCAATCTTGGACTCGTTAGATTTGACTCATCAAGATGCTCGATTCAACTATAAGCATGTTATGTTTAGAAACCGTAAGATAACTTAAATTGTAGTTCGAACTTTCCAACAGCTCTTCGGGTCCTTGATTTGGACTCATTTGGGCTCGGATTGAGTCAAATTTGGTGTCGTTGGGTTTGTATTTCTGAGATGCTCAGTTTGATTATAAGTTTTCAAAAATTAAATTTCAGGTGATCCAGAATTTAGTTTTTGAAGTTTCTGACTTGATTTTGTCTCGAGATTCATGCCCGATCAAGATAATTTTTTGATGATATATTAGTTGCCCCCCTATCCCGCAGCTAGCGATTGCCCGTACCACCACCAATTTTTTTTAATTTATTCATAAAAAATCCAAAAAAAAATCATAAAATTTCCAAAAAATCTGAAAAATTCCAAAAAAAATCTGAAAACTTCTGTCCACCAAAAAAACTTTAAATAACCCCTTAAGGCCAGGGGGAAACTTGCACATTCTTCTCTTCTCTTTCTGGCTTTCTAATAGTTGAGGCCTTATACTATTTTTTATTATGTGACTTTTCCTACTTAACTCAGCGCCCCTCCTCTTGTACAAAAGTTGGAATTTTCTCATCTTTTCCTTCTTTCTCCCCCATTTTTCTTCTTGCTCTAGAGGTTTTTTGCTATCTTTCATATGACTTTTCTTACTCAAATTTAGCGCTCCTCTATAGTATATAAATTGAAATGGGTGATCATACATCCACAAGAAATCCCCAAGCCAAAGAAGATCGTCGTGTTGCCCGATCTAAGGATTTAAAAAAGACTCACAAGGCAGCGAAGACCGATAATGTTATCTCCACCATCACTGATGATTCTTTCATTACTTTTAGAAAAAAAAATCATTTTCCTAATGATCTGGTGATGATGATTTCAACAAGACCTGATCGTGCCAGTTCTCCTCCCCCAGGATATGTGACAGTGAATGAATTTAATTTATGAGCTGGGCTACAGTTTTCACCATCTCATAAGTTGATTGATATTTTAACGATATGTGGAGTGAGTTTATCTCAACTTTATTACAGGGCTACATTTATCATAATGAGATTGGTCATACTTTTCAGAAATTGTGGAGGGTTGTTATCTTCAGAATGCCTTTCTCGAATGGGGCGTCTTATTAATGATACGTAGGGTCGTATCTCTTTCAGATCCAAGTGGTTGGATATTCCTACTCGAGATCTATCAAAAAGTTGGGTTAGTGACTTCTTTTTCGTGCAAAATGATTATAATCTTCAAGAAAAATGAGGAAAGTTGAAGGAGTTACCCGTTCCCTTACATATTGGAGTATAAGATTTATTAAAGATACTCAAACTTTCTGATATTGACGCCCTACATTATGAGGTGCATTATTTGAGCAAATATATAGACAAATAATACTTATTCAAGGTAGGACTATCTACTCAAGTAAGAAGATTGCATGCACAAATGTTAAAGAAGTCTGTGAAAGTTTTAGAGGCAGTTCCCCAGCCTTCAAAATTTCATTCTAAATGACCAGAGAGTGAGAGTGATTTGCAGGCATAAAAAAAGAAGAAGGCAGATGAAATTTTGGCAGTCACTATCAAAGGTCCTCGTATCTCTCCATCCAAGTCATATATTTTATAATATATTTTGAAACAACAATGTGTTGGTTGTCGGTAGGCTGAGTTGGTGAGTTCACCTTTTCTTCTCTCCTTTTGTATTTTTTTAAAGGATATATCTCTTAAATAATTATATTTTTATTATTTCAGTTGGAGCAGCACATGGATTTCAAACTTGAAATGACCAAAATATTGAATGACTAGAATAATGAATTTGTAAAGTTCAAATATCTTTAGGGAGAATACAATAAAAAATATGATGGCAAAGTCAAGGAGATAAAGGTGGTGAAGAAGCAGCTAGCATAGTGTAGAATAGAGCTGGCTAATAGGATAACTTTAGACTCCTCACAGAATCAACAGATAGATTGTATACATATAGAGTTGATGGATACACAGACAACGATCAACCAGCAGATGAGAGATTAACAAATCCTTGAAACTGAGAATAAGAGGCTGCATAGTATGCTGTCAGAGAAGGAAGCCCAGCAGTTTTCGTCCACAGTTATAGAAGAATTTAAGAAATCTTTTGCCTTCAATATAATTATTGAGGATCACATTCAGGAAGTTCGCAATCATATTTATGATATGGAGGTGAAGGCTTTATAAGAAGAGTATATGGAGGAGGGCTTCATCAAAAGTTTTATGAAGGGCGTGCGTGTGGTGCATCTCAAGACTGAAGCAAATATCAAGGGGTTGACACCTAGTCATGCTTCTGGTGACCCTTCTTCATACTATGGTGGTGAAGAACTAGAGAGTGAGTTGCATAAAGCCATTTCCCTCGAGGAGGAGGAGGATGATATTGAGATCATGTAGAATTACTCTGATGTTGTTTGTACCACTTTGTTTTCTTTCTAGTGATGAGTATATGTGTGTTTAATGTTGATGTTTCCATATGATGTACTCAATGTTTAGTGATATATTAAGAAATTATTAGTATTTCTCTTTTTTCTTCTTATATGCGTATGAAATTGACTTAGTTTTATTTCAATGAGAAATATTTTGGTGGTCTTTTTTTTACTTGAGTGAATACGAGAGATATCCTCCTTAGATATCTTGACCTATCTGAGGTTGTTAATCAAAGCATTTTGCTTGATGATTTTAACCTATATGAAAGAGGTCGGATCAAAATCCTCCTGGGATTGATCATCCGGTGATTGAGATAAAATGTATATTGTATATTTTTTGAATCATGGATAAAGAGTTTGCAGGATTTTTATCTTTTAAAAGAGAAGATAACATCACAATACTGTATTATATAAGATAGTACAATAATTCCCTTGTATAACTTAGGGATATGGAGGCTAGAAGAGTTTTACCTCAATCAACACATAAGGGATAATACTTAAATGATATAAAGTATAACTACTTGGGGGATATAATATAAGACAAATACTACCTACAATATTACATAAGACAAATAGTATTATTAACTTACTGATAATACTTGTGAAGGTTGCTAATATTTCAAGTTTGGGAGAGCATTTTTCCACTAGCATCTTTCAGTTTAAAGGTTACAGGCTTGACCATGATTACCACCAAATAAGGACCCTCCTAGAGGGGAGAGAGCTTATTATGCTGAGGGCCTTTTCCAATAGCTTCAATGCTCCATAAAACTAAGTCCCCAATAGAGATAGGTCGAGGTTTCACCCTCCAATTATAGTGACAAGCAATCATTTGGTGGTATGCAGCAAACCTGAGTGAGGCTTCATCTCTTACTTCTAGGAGGAGATCCAAATTTGTTATGAGCCTCTCCTTGTTACCGAAGTCAAAATTCTAAACTCTATTGCTCGGGACTCCAATATCAACCGGTATGACTGCGTCTATATCAAAATAGAGATTATATGAGATTTATCCTATAGGAGTTTTGGCAGTGGTCCGATAAGCCCGGAGGATATTTAGAAGTTCTTCAGCCCATTGCCACCCAGCCTTCCCTAGGTGTATCTTCAGTCCTTTCAAAATTATTTAATTTGTAACCTCTATTTGAATATTTATTTGAGGATGGGCAACAGCTGTGTGGATGAGCTGAATATGAAAATCCTTACAAAAGATGTAAAAATCTTTCTAGTAAACTATGTCCCATTATTAATGATGAACCTTGCAGGAATGCCAAAGTGACATACTATATTCTTCTACAATAACTATTTGACATTTGCTTCATTAATCTTCGCCAAAGGTTCTATATCCACCCATTTTGTAAAGTAATCTATAGTTATGATAATGAATTTTCATTGTCCAAACACTAAGGAAGGGTCCCATTATATCAATTCTCTATTTGGTGAAAGGCTATGGGCTCTGAAGTGATGTAAGTTCCAGAGCTGGCGTATGGGTGAGATTGGAATGAAATTGGCAATTTTTGTACTTTTGAGTAAACTCAAGTGCATCCTATTTCATTATAGGCCAATAAAAC